CAGGGAAGTGACTGTCCCCCTGTACATGGAAAATATTCACCATGAGAAATCTGTAATACAGATTTCAAAGTATGCTTCAGAGGTTGAAAGGCACTGGTGAGGCTGCACCTCGAATCCTGGGGTCAGTTTTGGGCTCCTCCCTACCAGAAAGACATTGAGGTGCTGGAGCGTGTCTAGAGAAGAGCAACAGAGCTGGGGAAGGGTCTGGAGTACGGGTCCTGTGAGGAGCAGCTGAGGGAGCTGGGGGTGTTTATCCTGGAGAAGACGAGGCTCAGGGGAGACCTTATCGCCCTCTACAACTACCTGAAAGGAGGGTGCAGAGAAGGGGAGGTGGGTCTCTTCACTGAAAGGTTGTCAGGCATTGGAACGGGCTTCCAGGGAGGTGGCTGAGTCACCATCCCTGGAGGGATTTAAAAGATGTATAGATGCAGTGCCTGGGGACATGACTTGGCAATGTTAGCTGTTGGACTTGATGATCTTAATGGTCTTTTACCCTTCATTCACACAGCTTAGATTAGTAATTGGCTTTACATGCCTATTGTGAAGTGGTGGCTCTTACTGCTTTCAAGTAATTAGCCTAAAAAGGATTTCATTAATTTTCTGTGTTTACCCCATCCTGCATGCATATTTCTGTAATACTTCAGCCAACCCCCCAGCATGCCATCATCCAATTTGGATGGCCCAATGCAATTGAGATTGATGTTTTCTCTAGTGCTAAGTATAGTATTAGGAAGAATTAGCCTATTTTAATTAGGAAGGAGATAAAGACCCTGTCACAGGGATTTATGATTTATGAGGAACAACTTCCTGGTTTTTCCCCCAGACACTGGGCTTGGAGAGATGTGACAAAACAGGCCACGGTCAAAGCACAAGATATGCACTAAGATGCCCAAGTTTTGTCCAAAAATCTAGATAATAAAGCCAGAAAGAAGTTGCCAATGGTGAAATAGATAAAGAAAGTACACTACAAAGATGTGCATACACACACAATCCATCCCTCTGTGCAAAGTCCCATCGGTAAGAGGCAGAGACAGATCTGGGCTGGGAGTGCTAAAGGAACTTAAGTAATGCAGCATACTTAAAAGCCAGGTGGTTCTGCAATGGATCATCTCTGAAGAGTTCTTAAAATGACAGAAGCAGACCGCTAACATATTGATAAACTAACATAAATCCATTTGGATATGGATGCATTCATCCAAAGAAGCAAGTAAGGGAGACCACCAAGAACTCGGTCATCAAACACCAAGGTTACACCAGGTTCGATGTAGAAAAATAAGACCATAAATAAAACTCAGGTTCCCCAAAAGTTTAAAAGAACTGCTAGACTTCTCAAGAACTCAGCCATCAAACAGCAAGGTTACACCAGGTTTGATGTAGAAAAATAAGACCATTTAGAACTCAGAAATAAAACTCAGGTTCCCCAGAAGTTTAAAAGAACTGCTAGACTTCTGATGAAGAAAATATCATTCACCTCGAGAAATCTGTGATCCAGATTTCAAAATATGTATGCTTCAGTGGCTGAAAGGCAAAAGGAAAGCGAGCCATCAAACAGCAAGGTTACACCAGGTTTGATGTAGAAAAATAAGACCATTTAGAACTCAGAAATAAAACTCAGGTTCCCCAGAAGTTTAAAAGAACTGCTAGACTTCTGATGAAGAAAATATCATTCACCTCGAGAAATCTGTGATCCAGATTTCAAAATATGTATGCTTCAGTGGCTGAAAGGCAAAAGGAAAGCGAATGCAGTGTTGTACATGAGCAGCCAGCCAACTGTTCTGTGTGTCATAGCAGATTCTTCTCTATTTATAAACGGAGGAATAACAACAACCAGAGCTGTGTGTAGGGAAGAAGGGAAAGTAGTGAGTAGGTGTGAGAAGTAAACACAAGGGCTTATTATCTATATGCAGGGAACAGAAAACCATGGGGAACAAAAAGCTTCCAGAGCTTCTGCATTAGTAGGATGTCAGGGGAAAGAAAATCTGTAATTGTGGGAGGGAGGGGTATGCAAAACCATTTACAAAGAGTTCAAAAATATTTTATGGCTATGTTGGATAAAGAAACTCTATTGAGGAAGCAAGCAAAAAGGGCACTCTGTAAGGACACAGGCAGCTAAGCACACAGGCTGCTCGATTCACACAACTTCAATGCAGGTTGACAGAAGGATAAAGTAAAATCCTACCCTGCACTCAGAGAAAATTGGAGCCAGGAGGAGGGGGAGGGAGGGTTTGGTTTCAAAGTGTTAATGAGGACCAAGGCAAATGGAGAAAATTGAACAAAATGCAATTCAAAGACATGCTCTGCGGTATGCTTAAGAGACAGATCCTGGCCTGAAAAATTTCCTTTTGTAAATTCTTTAACCTAGTACAAAGGATCTCATCTCAGCTTGGATCATCCAGCCATAGCTTTTCACAGGAACTGGTGTTAGATCAGCAAGCATTTGTAAGTACACACACTTTGCTAGGAGTAGGTTACTAAATCTGTTTTTTTGTCATATCAGAAACATGCAGTTTGGGCAAGAGGGACAATAAGACTCAATGTTCGACAGTTTGGAGAGAGTGGCAATGCATTCTGGGACACAAATTAACAAATATGGAACCTCTCTCCAAAATAACATAATGCTGGTTATAACAGCACAGTCTACAAAGCAAAACCTAACCAAGACTAAGACACAATCTTAAAATACTTGGGCTCATCCATGAGACTGTAACTACACAGAGGGAAGGATAGGGATTAGCTCAGCTAATTATTCTGAACCTGCCTTAATTATCTTCTACTTGATGAATACAGGCTTCCTGACAGACCTCTTGTTCTGAGTACATTTTCTGGGTCTCTCGCCTCTGGCGTGAAACTGGTTTTCGCCTACAGAATAAAGTTTCCCCAGACTCTTGGTTTGTCTCTTCCTTTGCTCTTCCCTCATCAACTTTGGCTGTAGTCAAAATATTTCCCTAGTGTCTTGTTATCTTTAATGTTTATTCTCATCTCTGAAATTGGCTTTGAGCTGTTCCCACAGACTGCTGGCGCTGTAGCAGGGAAGTGGAGGAGCTGCAGTTAATTCACAGATTTTGCAGGCATCCAGGAAACTGCTTGGCCAGCAAATTAGTTTTGCACGATCCCAGTACAGACCAGCAGGTGGAAGCAGTGAGAAACATGAGACCAAACAAGGCTCACCAGTTCAGCCCTAGGAAGCATTTGAAAGTGAAGTCTTTTGAGGATTACAAATGATTTTTACAATTAGAATATTATATTGTCACGTGAAAATGAAGCCTAGCTGCTCATACAGCCCCTAATCTATGACTACCAGATAAAGGAGTTATCCATCTATGTACAAGGGATGAATAAAGGAAGGCTGTGAGTAAAGATCGGTGTTAACACTTCTTCGGTGAATCTGGGCTTCCGTAGACCACTACCAGCATTTCCAGTGAGAAAGACTCAGAAGCATTTTCACACTTGGGAATTTGAGTAAAACATTCTAGATTTAAAACAACTAAACACAGGAAAGTAGCCGTACAATAAAAAGCAACAATCTCTAAAACACCTTAGCAACAGTTTTTAAGTTCCGCCTTATGTGCCACTACTTACTGGCTTTCTTGGACGATTACTTCTTGAGATGCTGTACATTTTTTTGTTATAATTGCCTAAATCTCAACTGACGGGGAAATGTTTGTCCTTCTAAGACAACTAAGAAAAGAAAAAGCCATGATACCAACCCACATGTATGTATGAACATGCTATCTGGTCTACACCCCATCTGAGAACAGCTGTCCTGCCACTTGTGTTTTAATAACCGACCAAGGAGAAACTCTAAGAACAGCTTTGTCTTTTAATCTAACTGAGTGCGAACACATGCTGAAGAAGTTATTTATAATACGCTTTCATTTCCCAAGATAAATCACCTCTCGTGGAGGCTGTGGACTACTGATAACAGTCGGAGTCATGACCAGTGGATTCTATTTCCATGCCTAAAGCTCATCAGCTGTATAATGCTGAATTCCTCGCGTCTGCGCATCTGATTCAGCGGTTCCAAACCAGGAATAGCTGCACCCACCCCAGAACGGACCCCGTTTTACAGGGACTCGTGAAAATCGATTACCATGTGAAGTGTTTCAGTACCACAGGATGCTAGGGGCTACAAAAGGAAAATATGTAGAATTAATTTACTGACAGATAATTAGCACAGTTACCTGTGTTGCCTCCCAGCCCCACTGCCTGTACTTGGGATCGTGGGTGAATCTCCACATATACCAGTAGGTCTCAATCACCTCTGGTCTTAGGATGTAATACTTCTCATTCTGCCGTACTGCCACCGCCTCTACGCCACCATCAAATTTGAATGCTTCTGGACCCAGCTTTAATGCTGCAGAGGAAAGAAACAAAGAATGAAAAGAACGAAAAAAAAATTATTCCTTACCAACCTTTGCAGAAAGGGTGGCTAGGATACTGCTATATCCCAAGCGTGTGAGAAAAGCAGAAACTAGCTTGTCTTTAAGCACTCTCATAAATATTTCCTATTGTTGAGGCCTGTAAATTTTCTTATGAATAATTCATCCAATTCCTGTGAGAAAACTACCAATCTTGACAGGAGTACAGTAATTATCTTGAAAACTAATGAAACACTAAGAATATAAACACATTAACAGATTCAATTACAGAATAAAATTGAAGTGACCGACATCAGTTCTTTACAAGCAAAATAAAAAAAGAAAGCCAGAAAGGGTCAAAAGAGGTTGTTACGTCCTTTGATCCCACCCAGCAGAGCAGGAAAACATCTTACAACAAAACCAGGTACCCACCATCTCACATAACCCGCCCCTTTACCCAAACCCTCTTTGTTTAGGGAAGTGTTTTCAGGCCACAGTAACTGATGTGTGCTTCATAATGGGATGCTCAAGTAAAGGGTTTACAACAAGGCAATGAAAACTTAGCCACACCTGAAAACAAATCTCTGAACTAAGAGACTGACTATTTCAGCCCTCAGAGGAAGCTGCAATGGCCTTGTGCCAGCAACTGGAAGACTATTCATATAAAAAAAGGTGCCTGTAGAAAAACTGTTAATAGGAAGATGCAATTCCGTATATTTATTTACTATACAGCTATACATTATTCCTCAAACTTAACATAAATAATGCACTCTTATCTACAGCTGTACCCCACCCTTTGCTCCAGCAAAGGATTTTTAAGGCACTGAACTTTGAAGCTGCACTCGAGCTTCAAAAATTATCAAAGCGATTAATCATGCAATTCTTATGGCCTAGAGGCTCACATTAACTATGGTCTCATGAGTCTGAAAGGGGAACCTTGGAAGAAAAAATATGAGCACCTCCCTGTGTGTGCCTCAGCAGAAGCTCTCCCAAAAATGTTCCTTAATCTTTTTGTTTCAATGGAGTATGGCTCTGGATGCCAACAGAAAAAAGCACCACTCTTCAGCCACAAGTGCGGTAAGGAAAACTCCATCAAGAAATGTTTATGAAACTTCTTTCAAAATGGGCCATTTCACCTGTTTCAGTTAAAAAGGAAATTACAAATTATACTGCAAAATCAACGAGATTAGATGCAGAGTTCTACCTTTCCAAAATTAAGAAGATAAGAATAGCCATACTGCACCAGATGTAAGATGGCCTGCTCCAACATCATGTCTCCAACAGTGGCCAAAATCAGACAAGGATGGGGAAGAGGAAGAACAGGCCAAGTGTATAAGACACCTTTTCCCAGCTTGTCGGCATCCAAATTTTTCTGAACTCAAGGCTTCTCCCAAACTAGACATTCCTTTGTTATGTGGTCAGTTATTCTCAATAGATTTATGTCCCAAGTACTTATCTGGTGTTTCCTTAGACCTACGCAAGCCTATCCCAAACAACCTCTGCTAAGGGGTTCCACATCTCTAACACCTCTTCAAAACGCTTTTTTTTTTTTGTTTTCAGTTGGCTCCCACTAGGCTCATTTGGCAGCCCCTACATCTTGTCTGGGAGAAGAGAGTGAACAACCGAATCCTATCCACTCTCTCCAGTCCCCTACTGATTTCACAAATCCCTTGTATCCTACCTAAAGCATCCCTTTTCCACACTGAAGAACACTATCCAATTCAGTTGTTCCTTAAACGCTCCATACATTTAGTTTTCCTTCTAGTCTTTCTCAGCAACTCGTCCGATTCTACTATATCCTTTATGAAATGTGAGGACCAGCCTGAACACAGGACTAGAACTGTGGACAAGATTAATACAGTGAAATCATGACATTTTCTATTTTGTTCCTTCTCACTTTGTTTTTCTTGACTGCGACTGAGCTGACATTTTCATAATCTCAAGAGCAATTTCCTGAGTTGTAATGGTCAGTTAAGAGCTCATCATTTTATATGTGAGGTTAGGCATAATTTTTTTTATAGGTGCCTCACTTCACATTTAACTATGCTGAGTTTAATTTAGTAATTTATTACGCAATTACTCAACCTCATAAGGTCCTTGTGCAATTTTTTCAGCTCTCTCATCCTTGCTATCCTGAATAGCTTTTTTTCCCTCAGTTTTTTATCAGTACACTTACCTTACTATTCCTGACCTTTTCCTGATTGTTTTATACATGTGCATATATGTATGTTTTATTATACATACGTACACATACTAAAAATAAAATGTAAATAGAACAGTCACTTATACACATATTATCTGTGTACAAATATATCAGAGCACAGCTGGTTAACCACCATTCATCCACTGCAAGAGCTGACTATTTACCTCTACCCTATCTGTGGTAGTGCAACCATTTTTTTTTTTCTTCATGCAGGTATTTGCTACTTATGCTACAGCTGCTTAATATCCTTAAAACACTTTGGTAGAGAACTTTTGGAAAAGCCTTTTGGAAGTCACTAAACCTTGTCAGCTGTATTACTCTTATCCAGCAAATCAGCTGGATTTCAGGCAGTGCTGGTGATGCATCACCTACAGAAACTGTTGACACCTTCTCTTGCTCTGTAGCCTGCTGGTGCATTAAATCTTTAATAATTTACTCATAAAGTACTTCTAACGTTATTGGGCACTCCAGGAAATTATATCACCCAAAGGCTGGGTGATCCCTGCAGACCGTGACAATCTCACTGAATTTTCATCTGAAACCAAGGCTGTAAAATGAATCACAGCACTTCTGCTAATAGCTGATTAAAGTAACGAAGTTACTATGAACACAGGACCTTTGGGGGGAGCATTCTTCTAAGCCAAGAACCATCTAAGGCCATTTCACAATGCTAGGTCACTCTTCAATCCAGCTATTTCAGCAGTCCCGGGGCTGATAGGCTGTATTAATAGTCAGAGAGAGCAGGTGAGAAACACATCGTAGTGCAAAAACGCAAAGCTAAACCAGTAGAATTTTAAGAGAGATTTTAACTGATTTGAAGCTGACTTCAGTGAAGGCTGTACTTAGCACTGCTGAAAATAAGGGCAAATCCTCAGGCTTCCAGGTAAATATTTACGTACCTAATTTTAGGAATAATTTTGAAAACATTGCTTAATTTTTTTGCATTCCTTTAAGACTACAGTCAGTCTAGCAATACATTTCCTGAAGGTAAGAAAGAATTAATAACTGGAATAATACTTTCTACATTCTAACTCATATAAAATATGAAGAAGAGACCCCTTCAAGACACTTTTGTTTGAGATTCTCTCAACCATTCCACCAACGTACGTTATTATTTTACACTTCTCACAAACCCAAGTAATTATTCTTATCTTTGTCTGCTTAGCGGCTTACAGAGTCTTGGGACAGAGACAGTATCTACTTATACCCTGACAATGTCCCAGCTGAAATCTCAGTCATCTGGCTTATTCTGTGTTGCAGTTGCCACTTGTATAAATAAAGCAAATGCTGTACCCAGATTCTGAGGCTTTTCTGTCAGAAACTTTAAAGACATGCAAAATACTTTATTCTAAAATAATCTGTGTGTAGTCAGTCAATACTTTACATATTATTGGCTAATTGCTGGGAAAATTCTTAAGTATAAGGAACAATATTTTACTAAAAATACTGTGTGCTGTAAAACAGCACATGCTGCCAATCTACATCAGGAACAGGGTGGCCAGCAGGAGCAGGGCAGTGACTGTCCCCCTGTACTGGGCACTGGTGAGGCTGCACCTTGAGTCCTGGGGACAGTTCTGGGCCCCTCACGACAGGAAAGACACTGAGGGGCTGGAGCGTGTCC